TCACCATCCATTGTTGGGGCAGTGGCTGTCACCGTTCCTGTCACACTCACCATCCCTGTCACAGCCACTGCTCAGGCTGGTTCCTTTGGCTCTCCCCCCTGTCCTGCAGTACTGCTGGCGCTGGACTGGCTTCAACTTTGGCTTTGACCTGCTGGTCACCTACACCAACCGCTACATCATCTTCAAGCGGAACACGCTGAACCAGCCGTGCAGCGGCTCCGTGAGCCTGCAGCCCCGGCGCAGCATCGCCTTCAGGTACGGCCCCAGCCCTGCCCAGCTGGGCCTCACTGCAGGTCACTGCTCACCTTCAAACAGGGGCTGTCCCCTCTGAGGAGCTCCCCGTGCTGGGAACACGGGGTGTTCTGGAGTCAGGCCCCTCTGTTGTGCCCCCAGGTTACGTCTGGCCTCCTTCGACAGCAGCGGGAAGATGGTTTGCAGCAGGACCACGGGCTATCAGATCCTCACCCTCGAGAAGGACCAGGTGTGTCTCTGGGGTTTTGAGCTGTTGAACTTGAATTGTGGAGTCCAAGGCATGAAAAAAATGCAGAGGAGCCACCAGAGCCCTTGAAGGGGAGTTGCTGTTCTTGTTGTTGCTTATGTGGAATCTCAAGTGTTCCTGTAGTGGGTGATTAAGGCTAATTTGTGAAGTGGAACTAGAGTGGGGTAGTGTGGGCTTCACTAGAGTTGATAATATGAAATTAGTTCCCATATGAGTGAAATGAGTGCCTGTGGTGCTGCTGTGTGCTGCCAGTGCCCTGGTCTGGACCTGCTGCTCTCCAGCCTTCCAGCACTGCTGACATCACCCCCCTGGATGATCTGTCCAGCAGGATCCTTAGAGGCAAATTTGGAGTTTGTTCAAAGACTCCCTTGTAAGCTGAAGAGTTAAAAGAATGTCCACATGTTGTTCAAGGGTTGGATTTATCACTGCATTAAATAAATCAGTACAAGCCCCAGAGAGGAGCAGAGCTTCCTTAGAGCACGTGCCCTTTTCCACCCATTGCTGACAGCAGAATTTACTGAGGCAAGTGCAAGACTTGTAAATCAAGTTTCTGAGATCCCAGCCAGCAGTGATATGGAGGTGGTGAGAACACAAAAAACATTTCCCTGGCAGTGCCATCCTCACTGTAGGGTAAAGTTTCAATTTTGCTACCCCAAAACCAGTTCCTGAAGTGAAACCCAAAAATTCCGACCCACAAACTGAAGTTTGCTTTAAAATACAGACTGTTGGGTGTTGCCTGGTTGGTGAAATCTCCCGAAACTGAAAACTGCCCCTTTCTCCCCAGAGTGCTGGAGGGTAAATTTGCTTTCCTGTGGTTGTTCCCTGTGCTGCAGAGGCCTGGGAGCTCTGGGGCTGTGGGCAGCCTGAGAGTGTCTCATCAGTGCCAATGCTATAAACCATCCGCTGGAGGTGAAGGGGAATTGCTGTCTTGGGTTTATTTTTTATATTCTGACTTTAAACCACAGTCATTAACTGTGCAGAGTGAGTGTTGTCTCAACCCTGTGCTCTTGGTCCCCCCTGCCCCATGTCCCATGTGCTTGCAGGAGCAGATTGTGATGAATTTGGACAGCAGGCTCCTGACCTTCCCTCTCTACATCTGCTGCAACTTCCTGTACACAACCCCGGAGAAGAGGGGGGACGGCGAGGCCCTGCTGGAGAATTTGGAAGCCTGAGGCCCCCTGGCAGCCCCTCTGGAGCCCCCTGGCAGCCCCTCTGGAGCCCCCTGGCAGCCCCTCTGCCCCCCTGGAGCTGTTTCCCCACCACAGTGCCACCCCGAGCTGGGACAGCCAGGCCTCAGACCCAAAAACATCCCCGGCCTCGGGGTGTCCTCTGCAGCTCTGGAGACAAGAGGAGCAATCAGACAGGCCAGGCCCAGGCATCCTTCTGGTTCTAACCTTAGTTCTGCTCTGCAGCTTTGGGCAGCAGCCATTCTGTGTTTGGGAAATGTGACACTTGGGTTCTTCTGGGTGAAAACTGAGCCAAATGGGACGTGGGGAGTTTGTGTGGATCAACTTTGGAACTTCCCCGTTGGATTCTGAGCACACGCTGTAGGACGTGTGGGTTTGGGTTGTTTTATTTGTTGTTTTGGTTTTTTTTTAAATAACTGATCTGTAAATACCAGATCCATATTCTGCTTATTTTTCTGGTCCTTTTCTGTTAGGGCCAAATAATCTGTGTAAATGTGGCCTCTCGACTTGGGTTATTTAACTGCACAGCCTTTCCCACCTGCTTGGTTTTGAGCCTTTTTGGCAGCTCACAAGCAGACATTTCATTCTTAGTCTTGTTTCAACATTGCAGCCAATTTTTCTCTCTTTTTTAGCACATTAATTTGCTAATAAGGATGTTAAGTGAATTTTTTTTTTCCATGTACTGCAAATACTCCTCACCATCATTTGAGTCCCAGCAGCAGCAACTCTCAGCTGGGGTTCTGACTCTACTTACACAAACCAAATACCAGTTCTTAAACATCTTCTGTGGCTTGTTTTAGCTGTTACCTTGGGAATACATCCCGTGTTAGCTCAGGAACTTGTGACCTCTGAGTGCCTTTTATGTGGAACACCAACCTCACACCAGTTCACAAGGTCACAGGATCCAAAGGCAGAGCTGGGAACAAGGGATTCCTCTCCAGTTGGTTTGATGAGTCGTGTCATGGCACACTCTCTTTGGTCTTTGTTGGGTTTTATGTTTGTCTCTTGCAATTTTGAATTCTTACAGCAGGATTTTTGGATTTCAAGTGGGAATTTTTGCCTCTTTAGCCTATTTTTTTAATGTCAGAAAAATATAAAACCATTTGTACTATATAACAAGGATAGAAATGTGTTGGTCAAGATGGAAAAACATGACAACTTGTCAATAAATGATTTCAAGAGGAATACAGCCCTCCTCTGTCCTTTCCTGCTGGGAATAGCTTTCTGTGTTGGATTCAGCCTGTGGATTCAGCACCTCTGTGTGATCTTGTGTCACGTGGCTTTGGCAGCAGGGCAGAAGCATTTTAAGGTGTTCAGCTGCTACAGCATCAAATTTATTGTACTTAGACCCTTAATTCTGGCTTTAACTGGATGTACCAACTCTTTGAAGGCATCCTGGACTCAGTGGACAGCAACAGGGGCTGCTGGTTAATGGCAGAGGGGACCAGGGACATCAACCCCAGGTTGTTTTCAACACCAGGGCTGCAGTCTGAGCTGTGGGGGTGGGTTGAGCTCTGCAGGGCTCTGCACCCCCATTCAGGGCCTGATCCTGCTCTGCCCTCACCCCCCTGGATCCCAGGGCCCCCCTGCCCTGCTCACCCTGGGCAGGGGTCCTGTGCTGAGCACCCACCACCCTCCAGTGTGATGAGGGCATGAGACTGTGGAGAAGGAAACTGCTCTTGGAATCCTTTTCCAGACAGGAAGGACCCTTCCCTTGATCCCTGGGTGTCCTGTGCCCCCCTCCCTTGCCCTCCTGGCTGTGGGGGGTCTGTCAGTGCAAGGAAACAACCCCCTTCCCACCTTCCTCCCTCTTCCCAGGGGCCAGGATCGGGAATTTGGATCAGGGTGGGGGCGAGGACCCTTCCTCAGGGGTTGCAGAGGGGTGAGGGGAGCCCAGGAAGCGAAGCACACACAATTCCCACAGTGGGTGGTGGTTTTTCTCTCTTTATTGTCACTGACAGGAGCAGCAGTGGTGGCCGGGGGACACGGGCAGTACAAACACCACACTCGGGGGAACGGTATGAAAAGTACAAAAATAAGGAAGCCTATATATAATATCATTGCAGTCAATTGCTAAAAATAAATATTGTAAACACGAAAGAACAACATCAGGTGAATCTACAGCACTCGTTTCTGCAGCCACACAGTCTTTGGCTTTATGACTCCCCTGCCCTCGGAGCCAGCGCCCACATCCAGATGCATTTTCTTTGCTTCAGGCCAGAAAGGTTTCAGACTGCTCAGGATGTCATGATAGAGAGAATTTCCCTCTCTCCAGATTTCCCCTGTGAGCAGGAATTGCCTCTTTTTGCCTTCATTGTTTTACCAGAGCAAGCCAATGATGTGCCAGGAGCAGGTTTGTCCCTCTCCTGCTGGAGGGGAGGGGGCTGTGCTGGGCTGGGGGCTCAGGGCTCCCCCAGCCCAGTTTATTTTGTTGTTATCTGGTATCACCCTTGCACGGTGGTTGTTGCCACAGTTTTACACCTCTCCCCTCCCGTGCACTTGGACCTTTCACCCCCTGGTCTCTGCCAGCTGGTTTGGATTGTCTGATAAGGGAGAGCAGGCACCGCTTATCTGGGGTCAAACTGCACCCGGGGCCAGAGGTCTGTGCCCACAGATAGGAACTGCACACCCCGGGTGACAGAGCCTGAGCTTCTCCCTAAGCAGCCTTGGACTCCGGGAAGGGAAGAGGTAAATTCCACTTGCCAGGCTCGATAATTTGCTGATTGTGTTTATATATATCTGTGTATATGCTGATTGTGTTTATATATAACTATATATATATTAAAACCCCCATAAAATCCTGGCCAAAGTACCAACGAGGAGAGAATTGCCAGGGAGGAAAGGCCTGAGACTCTGCTGCCTGCCTGGCCAGGGAAGGTGCTGGAACACCAGGAGTGCAAAGAAAATGCATCCAAATGGGAACGACCAAGTAAAACAAAGCCATCCTAAATCCACAAAGCAGCGCTTCTTCCTGGAGGGAAGACACAGACTGGGCAAGTCAGTCTGAGCAGTCTGTCCGTCTGTCCCTACAGATTTGATCTTCCCTTCATATCAATAATTAGGATTTAATCTTCCCTTCTTCATTTTAACACATTCACAGAACATCCCATGGCGTGAGGTCCCAGCCACTACAGTCAGACTGTACAGGAAACACCCCAGTGCTCGTCCCCGGGG